CCCCCGCACTCTCTGTGTTACCTTCTCCTGACCCCCGCACTCTCTGTGTTACCTTCTCCTGACCCCCGCACTCTCTGTGTTACCTTCTCCTGACCCCCGCACTCTCTGTGTTACCTTCTCCTGACCCCCGCACTCTCTGTTACCTGCTCCTGACCCCCGCACTCTCTGTGTTACCTTCTCCTGACCCCCGCACTCTCTGTGTTACCTTCTCCTTACCCCCGCACTCTCTGTATTACCTTCTCCTTACCCCTGCACTCTGTTATTTTTGCTGGTTATGTATTCTACATGGATGGCACAACAGGGGACACCACTGATACAATGACACAACAGGGGACGCCAGTGATACAGTGACACAACAGGGGACACCAATGATATAATGAAACAATAGGGGACACCAATGATACAATGACACAATAGGGGACCCCAATGATACAATGACACAACAGGGAACACCAATGATACAATTACACAACAGGGGACACCAATGATATAATGAAACAATAGGGGACACCAATGATACAATGACACAATAGGGGACCCCAATGATACAATGACACAACAGGGAACACCAATGATACAATTACACAACAGGGGACACCAATGATATAATGAAACAATAGGGGACACCAATGATACAATGACACAATAGGGGACCCCAATGATACAATGACACAACAGGGAACACCAATGATACAATTACACAACAGGGGACACCAATGATATAATGAAACAATAGGGGACACCAATGATACAATGACACAATAGGGGACCCCAATGATACAATGACACAACAGGGAACACCAATGATACAATTACACAACAGGGGACACCAATGATATAATGAAACAATAGGGGACACCAATGATACAATGACACAATAGGGGACCCCAATGATACAATGACACAACAGGGAACACCAATGATACAATTACACAACAGGGGACACCAATGATATAATGAAACAATAGGGGACACCAATGATACAATGACACAATAGGGGACCCCAATGATACAATGACACAACAGGGAACACCAATGATACAATTACACAACAGGGGACACCAATGATATAATGAAACAATAGGGGACACCAATGATACAATGACACAATAGGGGACCCCAATGATACAATGACACAACAGGGAACACCAATGATACAATTACACAACAGGGGACACCAATGATATAATGAAACAATAGGGGACACCAATGATACAATGACACAATAGGGGACCCCAATGATACAATGACACAACAGGGAACACCAATGATACAATTACACAACAGGGGACACCAATGATATAATGAAACAATAGGGGACACCAATGATACAATGACACAATAGGGGACCCCAATGATACAATGACACAACAGGGAACACCAATGATACAATTACACAACAGGGGACACCAATGATATAATGAAACAATAGGGGACACCAATGATACAATGACACAATAGGGGACCCCAATGATACAATGACACAACAGGGAACACCAATGATACAATTACACAACAGGGGACACCAATGATATAATGAAACAATAGGGGACACCAATGATACAATGACACAATAGGGGACCCCAATGATACAATGACACAACAGGGAACACCAATGATACAATTACAC